GCCCGCCCGCCGCCCGCCCGCGGGGAGCAGCGCTGATTGCGCGGGCGCCACGCCGGGTAATGAGCGCTGATCACCCCGCGGCCGCGCTGGGGAATGCTAAAAGGCCACTGGCGGGTTGGAGGCTGAAAAATTAGGGTTTTTAATGATAATTTTATGCAGAATAATTGTCGCAGTGTGACATAAATGGTTAGCTCCTCGGGCGGGGGCTGCGGGGCTGCGGGAAGCGGAGCCGTGCGGGGCAAGGCGGCCCAGGGTCCGGGTCGGCGGGTCCTCCGGGTCGGAATTGGGGGGACCCCGGTCTGGGTCGTCGAGTCCCCCGGGGGTACGGGTCGGCGGGGCCCCGGGTCTGGGTCAGGCAGGTTCCTGGGTTCTGGTTCGGCGGATCCCCGGGAGTCCGGTCGGGCAGGTCCCTGGGTTCCAGATCTGCAGGTACCCCGGGGTCTGGATCGGGCGGGTCCCTGGCCTCTGGTCGGAGGGTCCCCTGGGTCCTTCTCCAGGGCGGTCCAGAGCCTGCAGGCCGCGTCGTTGTGCGGCATTCGTGTTCGGCTTCTCGCTTGCACCGTGTCCCCCTGACTGCTCCGTCTGAATGTTCCATTCCCTGCTACGGGCTGTCATGGTTCGGCCTCCTTTCTGTGAGGATTTAGTTTTTAAAAAGCACCTGGAACACGGTGGCGTCACCCTGGCTGTTCCCTCAGCAACTTCGCGAAGTTTCCTGGCTCTCCAGATCGCGAGGGCAAGGGCGGCCGCCACCCCAAAGCAGCGCCCCGAGCTCGGAGTGGGCACCCGAGGGCCCGCAGGCCCCGCCTGTCTTGAGGATGGCTGATGGAAATAGTTTGATGGTGTTGTTTTAAAGAAGCGTTATCAAGGCGTGAATAGCATAGGGTTACTGGCTTCGCCTGGTGAGGCGCCGTTTCTCAGCAATTTCTAAAACTGTAGGTCAATAGACTGTACTTTTTTCCTCCACCCGCTGCGGAGGACGGGACCCACAGTCTGGAGCACATTGGCGCTGAGCTCCACCCCAGCCCAGTGCACTCTTTTGTCTGCTTCCCCCTCCCCCAGTATAAGTATTCTGAGATTAGGCCATGCGGTTGTGAGTATCCAGTTTACCCTTTTTAACTGCTGAGTAATATTCCATGGTATGGATGTACCACAGTATGCCTACCCAGTTGAACAATATCTGTTTCCTTTCTAGTCCAGTTTGGGGCTATTATGCATAAAACTTCTGTGAACATTCTAGCACTTCGTATGAGCATATGCTTTCATTTCCTGGGGATAAATAAATATCCAGGATTGGGATGGCTGAATCGTAGGATTAAGAAGGTCTCCTCTAAGGAGCTGCTGAAGTTGTGCTGTTTTTCATTCCCACCAGCCGTGCCCCGTTATTCTTCCTGGTTCCCATCCTCAGCCTTTAAATGAGGGCGTTCCAGCAGGTGTGTGGAAGTGGTTCATCATGGGTCCGACCTGCATTTCCTAATGACTGACAGGCGTCTTCCCACTCACTCCTTTGCCACCCCTGTATCTTCTTGACCGTCTGCTCAGATCTTTCCAAAGCTGGGTTTTTTCATTAGACTTTGAGCTTGCTTTCTACCTTCTAGGTACACGTGCCTTGTCACATACTAACAAGTGTCATCCCCCAACTTCCGGCCGGTACTTTCCTCTCTTCACTGTCTGTGGAAGAACACAAGTGCTTCGTTCCGATGGAGACCACTCATCAAGTGTTTTTCTCTTCAGATTGTATTGGGCTATTGTACCTACAACTCTGCCTATCCCAAGCTTATAGTTTTACATTTTTACATGGATGTCTGTATGGATTCAGCCACCCAGCATCATAACTGCCAGGTTGTCTGGGAATAACCCTGGCCAATTTTCCGGGCTAGTTTCCCAGGAATCTATAAATAGGCAAAACCACTACGGGAGTGTAGGGAGCTCTACGACTGGACCCAGCTCTAGAGACGTGTCTAACTAAACCAGACACATTCCAGCTAGGACAAAGTCACGTTTGTCCCAACCGGTAAATACTCCCCTCTCTCTGACCCAAATCTTAAGGACCCTGCTGGTCCTGCTGCCACCAGGACCAGGCTTGGATCAGTTAAGTCCTCCAGAAAACTGCACTCTGCAATCCTAGATCGGTCTGTCTCTCTTTGCTGTCACAGGGCCGTGGGCTGGTCCTCATACACTAGGACTAGGATGTTCCAAAGCAAATCTCGGCCGTGCTCAGTTACTTTCTATGGTGTGGTGTGGGGTATAGATTGAAGCATTTGGGGTTTGGGGGTTTTTGGTGCTGCTGCTGCTGCTGCTGCTGCTGTAGCAGATGGATTACAGCTATCCCAGCCACGTTCATCAAAAATCCCTTCCTTTCATGGCAAGTTCCCTTAGCACTTTGTCAAAGATCAGTTGACTTGGGGAGGCCGAGCAGGAGGATCACGGCCCACCCTGAGAAACTTAGTGAGACCGTGTCTCAAATTCTAAAAAATTTTAAAAAGGACAGGAGATGTGAAGGCCCTGGGTTTACTCTCCAATATTTTAAAAAATATGTATTACATGTAATATACATGTATTACACATAATATGTATGGAATACGTAACATACATGTGGGCTTATTTCTGGATGCTTGTCAAGTGCGCAGAAGGCAGAACAAGGTCTTATAATTCAACTGTAAAGACAGAACGAGCCACTTTCCTACGTAAACCCTGAAAGGAAGAACAGCCGGAGTCTCAGCTCCGCATGGTCCTTGTCCCGCACACCAAGGGCAACACCCAAACAAAAGAGGCTGGGGGGTGGCCGCGTGACGAAGGCTGCCCCACTGCTGAGCAGCTGACTCCAGGCTTGCACTGAGCAGTTCAGGGCCCGTGGCTGCAGTATGAGGAGGTGAGGCAGGGAGCCCCATGGCCCCTCAGAACCCGGAAGATGACAGAAAACTGTCACCGGACAGCCTCCCCAGAGACACAAGGAGACCAATGGGCAGCGGCAGGATGACTGGGTGCTGCGCCAAGCTGCAGATCCAGGGGCTCACATCTGTGCTGTGTGGCCTACATGGATACATGCACGGTAGCAGAGTGCCACGGAAGAGCCACCCGCCCCTGGTGTGTTTCTGTACTGACACCATGCTCTCTTGGAGTCTTTATAATCAATCTTGAGGTCAGGCCACATAAACTCTTAAGTGCTGTTCTTATTTTCAGAGTTGTTTTGGCTATTCTAGCTCATGTGCTTTTCCGTATGGATTTTAGATGCAATTGGTCAGTTTTTCTATGAAACAGCCTACTGCATTTTGATTGGGGCTGCCATGAACGTATAAGTCAATTTGAGGAGAAATGACATTGTAAAAAATCTGAGACTTGAGTCAGGCGCGGTGGTGCACACTTATAATCCCAGCACTTGAGAGGGTGAGGCAAGAGGATTGCTATAAGTTCAAGGCCAGCCTAGACTCAAAAAAAAAAAAAAAACTGAGATTTCCAACCCATGAATATTTTATACTAATCCATTTATTTAGGATCTCTTTCATTTCCCTCAGTTATTTTGTATAGTTTCAGGTGCTCAGTTTACATACGTTTTGTACGATTTATCTCTAATGATTTTATGTTTATACCATTGTAAGTAGTACTGTTTCAATTTCAATTTCTGGTTCTGTGTATGTACTATATACAATTGATAATTACTGTGTATTAATCTTGTATCCTGCAACCTTGCTAACTCATGAATCATTCCAGTAGCTTTTCATAAAAGCGATAGGATTTCTATGTAGGCAATCCGTATCTAAAAATAAAAAGCCCTACTTCTTTTGTGCTCCGGATGCCTCCTTTCACTTCTTCTTGCCTCACTGCACTGACCACAACCTCCAGTTCAGTGCTGAGTAGACGTGCTCAGAGCAGATAATTTTCCTGTTCCTGAACTTGGAGGAAAGCACTGAGTCCTTCACCATTAAGTATGAAATCAGATGCGGTGGCTTTGTAGATTCTCTTTCTCAAATATAGAGAGCTCCTTTGTATTCTTACTTTGTTGACAGGTGCACTATGAATGGATATTTAATTCTCTTAAATGCTTTTTTCTACATAGATGGAGATGATCATATGGTGTGTTTGGGGATGTTTTAATAGAATGACTCACACCAATTGATTTTTAAATGTTAAACCAACTTTGCATTTCTGGGATAAATGACACTTAGTCATGAAGTATTATCTTTTTTTATATAACGTTGGGTTTGATATTCTGAGATTTCTTCAATATCTGTATTTATTCTCATGACATATATTTTTCTATAGTTTTTTGTGTTCTTTTTGTCTGGTTTTGATATCAGAGTAATGCTGGCCTCAATGATGATTTGAAAAATGTTCTCTCCTATTCTATATTCTGGAAGACCTTAAACTGTTCCTAGCCAGGCATGGTGGCACACGCCTGTAATCCCAGCACTAGGGAGGCTGAGGCAGGAGAATCATTGAGAGTGTAAGACCAGCCTAGGCTACAAAGTGAGCTCAAGGCCAGCCTGAAGTACATAGTAAGACTCTGTCTCAAAAAGACACACACACACACACACACACACACTGTTCCTAAATGGAACAGTTCACCAGTGAAGCCACCTGAGTGTAGAATTTAATTTGTGAGTGGTTTTTAACTACAAGTTCTATTTCTTCACTAGATACGGAGTTCCTCAGGTTGTTTCTTTCTGAGTGAGATTTCATAGTCTGTATTTGTATTTCTTTCAGCTAAGTTGTCAAATTTATTGTCATAAAGCCCGCTGTCAT